AAGAATAAAGAGCAATGGGACCAGCTGCCCAGGGTCAGCACATATCACAACTTGACCAATAATTCAGTTACCCACCCTTTTGAATGCATTATGTGTAATGGATATAATGCACTATTGTGTCACGAAAAAAAAAAAAAAACATTAGCTTTAAGGATAAAAGGATGAGGAGTGAGTTTTAAAGTGAATGGATGTTCTGAAGTGTTTCTACTTTCATTAACATGTTTTGTTCTCCAGTTCCAATCAGATCTAATTGAATGTGAAATGTTCTGATCCTCAGGAGCAGCAGCAGAGCCGTCAGTCCCAGCTGACTCAGGATGAGAGAGTATCACGATCATACCTGGCTTTAGCCACAGAGACTGTGGATATGTTCCATATCCTCACCAAACAGGTCCAAAAGCCCTTCCTCAGGCCTGTAAGTAAAGAAACATGTTGCGCTGTAAAAACACACTCTGTGACATTATTATCAAGGCATATACACGAAACATTCAAGTGTTTGGGGTCGGTAAGATTTTTATGCTCTTCATGGTTACATTTATTTGATTAATTTGTATATTTATTTGATCAATATATTTATATAATATTATTACTATTTAAAACAGTTTATTTTGTTACATTTTAGAATGCAGTTTATTCCTGTGATGTCAAAGCTGAATTTTCAGCATCATTACTCCAGTCTTTAGTATCACATGATCCTTCAGAAAACATTTTCTAATATGCCGATTTTGTGCTTAAAGATTTCTTATTATTATCAATGTGGAAAACAATTTGGGGGAACCTGATTTCACCAAGAACATCAACATCTTTGTTGATCCTGGAACTACATTCCAATCAACCAATCAGATTTGAGCGACAATTTTACAGTTTATGTCGTTTAGGCTTACAACCAGGGTTAGGTCCTTCTACATCAGGATTATTTAATCATCATTTCCCTCTGAATATAGTGATAACTTATGGGTAGGACTTGATTTTCGGACAGGAATGTTGTTGCAGGATCTACAAAATTGACCCAGAAATATGTCTGTCTTGGCAAAATCACGGTGACCAAAACAGTTGTGCTGCTTTATGTTTTTGTGTAATACATTTTTGATTAATAGAAAGTTTAAAAGAACAGTAATTATTTGAAATTAAAATCTTTGTAACATTTTAAATGTCTTTTAATGTCACATTTTGATCAATTTAATGTGTCTTTGCTGAATAAAAGTATTCACTTCTTTCAGGAAAAGAAATATCTTTCTTACCCCAAACTTTTCAACGGAAGTATACGAACAGCTAAAGAGCTTATTAAAATGAGTAGAAGCAGTTTAATAAACGCATCTAAGCGGGACAGTTGAAGAAACATGTCTTGAGGAAATTTTTAGCTGACAACAAACAGATTTGCATTAGGACGCTCCTAAAAAGTGGTAAAGTAGAGCATAACAAAATCTATTTAGGTTTGCTTGTTAGGAAAAAGCGTGAGGATTGTAATCTGCTGCTTGCCTGTAAATGAATCTCCTGCGCTCTGCAGGTATTTATAGTCTTCAGAGAAAATTGAGCTGCTGCCAGGGTCAGAACATTGAGTTTATTCAGGAGAAAGGGCACTTCTAATGTATTATGTTGTATTGAACAGGAACTGGGTCCTCGTCTGGCTGCCATGTTGAATTATAACCTGCAGCAGCTATGTGGGCCTAAATGTCGAGACCTAAAAGTGGAAAACCCAGAGAAATACGGTTTTGAGCCAAAGAAGCTCCTGGATCAGCTCACTGATATCTACCTGCAGCTGGACTGTGCCCGATTTGCTAAAGCCATTGCAGATGACCAGGTCTGTATTTACTCACCAAAATTCTTTTAACTGTATTGCAAGACAAATAGTGTATAACTCAAATTTATGTATTTTTTTTGCTCATTTTCAGCGGTCATACAGCAGGGAGCTCTTTGAGGAGGTCATTTCCAAAATGAGAAAGGCGGGCATAAAATCCACCATTGCTATTGAGAAATTCAAACTTCTGTTGGAGAAGGTGGAGGAGATAGTAGCTCGCAATTCTCAGTCTGAGATGGATTACAGCGACGCCCCAGATGAGTTTAAAGGTGACGGGTCATCAAGTCTTTAGCTATGTCATACTTTGAATCATTCACTACTGTTTAAAAGTTTGGGGTCAGTTGTAAATGTTTTTGAAAGAAGTATCTTAGGCTCACCAAGACTGCATTTATTTGATCAAAATACAGTAAAATGGTAATATTATGAAATATTATATTATGTTTTCTATTAAATGTTTTGAAATGCAACTTTTCAGCATCATTACTCCAGTCTTCAGTGTCACATGATCCTTCAGAAATCATTCTGAGTTTCTTTGGTAACACTTTACAATAAGGTTCATTAGTTAATGTATTAACTAACATGAAATAACCATAAGCAATACATTTGTTACTGTGTTTGTTAATCTTTGTTAACGTTAGTTAATAAAAATACAGCTGTTCATGTTAGTTCACAGTGCATTAATTAACATTAACAAAGATGAATAAATGCTGAATATGTGCAATTCATTATTAGTTCATGCTAACTAATGTAGTTAACTAATGAACCTTGTTGTAAAGTGTTACCTTTTCTTTTTGAAAACGGTTGTGCTGCTTATTTTTGTGGAAACCAGGATACTTTTTTTCATACTTTGATGAATAGAAAGTTGAGCATTTAATTGAAACATTATAAATGTATTTACTGTCACTCTTGATCAATTGCAATGAATTCTTGCATAATAAAAGTATCAATTTCTTCTTCTTCTTCAAAAAAAAAAATCTTACTGACCCCAAACATTTGAATAGCAACAGATTTACAAGTCGATTGAAGTTAGTAAATAACAGTGTGCTCCTACCTGAACAGACCCGCTGATGGACACTCTTATGACTGATCCCGTGCAACTTCCCTCTGGCAACATCATGGACCGATCCATCATTCTGCGACACCTCCTGAACTCTCCCACCGACCCCTTTAACAGACAGCCTCTCACAGAGAGCATGCTGGAACCAGGTACCAACCACACACCGCTTTTCAAAGATTGCTTCTTTCAGCCCTGCTGCCAAATGCACTCTGTGACTTGACTTCTTTTTTGTTAGACTTTATAATGCTGACTCTGTATTTTTCCCCTCTCTCCACAGTCCCAGAGCTGAAGGAGCGTATCCAGGCCTGGATGAGAGAGAAGCAGAGTGGTCGCTTTTAAGTTTTCTCAGTGAGCCAAGCTTGCCCCTCAGTATAAATGTTTTTATCACGCTGGAAGTAAACTGAAGAGAAACAGAAAAAAAAAAAGATGACAGTACCCAAATTGTTTTTGCCTCCCTTTATCCTCTTTATGGAGCCACTGTCTGAAAGGCTCATGATTCTAAATTGAAACATAATAAAGTTTAGACTTTTGAAACATTTTGATTTTGAATTTGTATGTCTGCATACATACCAAGCTGAAAGGGCACACATTCTCACTCAAAACCAGATATAAGACATTCTTGTTGTTTTCATTGACTTCACATAAACATTTTAATGGTTCTGACAGTAAACACTGAGGGTTCATGTTTGTGAGCTATTTGGAAGAATGTTGTCAAGTAACACCAGTATTTCCATTTTTACACTCAATAAACATTGGCTGTAGACATACAGTTTACAGTTCTGTCCCTAACCTGCCTTTTATTTGATATGGTTGGAGAAGTACAGCATATTTTAAATAAATTAACAAGCTCTAGACTGTCTTGTAGAAAATACAATAGATGTTGGTGTAAATTGATGAAGCATCAGATGGTGACTGACTCTGTATTTTAATTTTGTTGGTTTGCACAGAAATCTCATGTACAACAATTTGACTAAAAGGTGAAGCAGAGCTGAAACCCTGGATCAAATGAGAGAATGTGAAGCTGTGTTGTAGCATGATCATCATAAAAATGCCAGTATATCATGTTTTTTTTTTTTTTTCTGTTTACCAACATTTGTTTTGGATCATAAAGGGTCATCATCTCTTGTTATTAATGTTAACCCCAGTTGTTGGATTTCAGCATAAATTAAAAGAGTTTTTCCAGTGATTTAAAAGGGTTTATCTGTACAGGAATTTGCTTCCTTTGTTACAAAATTCTTTTGAACTGTAATAAATGGTAATGCACACACAATGATAGCCATTGCACTTTTTTTACTTGTCCTCTTAAATTCATCATCCATGTTTTTTTTTATTTTTTTTTTTTATAAAACTTGAGAAATTAAGGTATTACATATTAAATTGTTTCATGGATGACACTGGCTGTTGATTTAGTATAATTGAGATACTATTATAGTTTTTGTTCTTTTAGTGTTAGTACTTTTTTGTTTAATTTCTAGTTTAGTTTTAGTTATTTTAGTACATCAAATTTTACTAAATGAAAATGAGAAATACAATTTTTTTTGTTACCGGTACTTGAAATAGAGATAACTAACTGAAAGTTTTAGATTTTTTTTTTTTCAGTTAATATTTATTTCAAGGAGAAAATGTGTTTTTATGGTTTTAGTTTTAGTTAACAGGAATAACCCTGGGCACAATTTAGTCTGGCCACATTATAAAATAAAATAATACATAATTGTCAATCAGTGGGAGAAAACATTTTAAGTGTGGTATATGAGGAAGCAGCTTCTATTTTGATGAATTGCTCACCTTTATGCATTGTTTTGAGAGGATTCAAGTCTCATGACTATTTTAGAAAATAATGGGTGTAATTATTTTTTTGAAAGAACATATTTAGCAATTTAGGATTCTAAACTGTTCTTTTAATTAGTTTCTAAAGTATAGCTATCCCTGTTTCTGCTAGGCGGCGCCCTTCACTTTTGTGTAGTATGATGCCACGCCACAGCGGATGGTAAGCGACCCTGCAGTATTGCGTCACAGCTGCCCAGCCCACCGTAGTTTTTCCAGCGTTCTCATTGGCTACATGACGCATTGCTCACACAATACTCAGTTCTTATTGGCTAGACGGTCTGTCATTCACGATGTTGACACGGCAGTTGACGTAATCATTTCAGTAAATCAAGGCATTCATCCATATCCTAAGCCTGCTAGAGGAACGGTCCAACGACACCAGCATCAGCCTAATAAAAACACCATCTTGCGCGGTGCTGGAGAATTAAACGGAGCTATAATGGGTGTAAATAACAAAAAAGGAACTATTAAGAACTTAACCGTCAGTCTTTTTTGATTTTTGCTGCTGGTTGTAGACGTCATTGGAGAATTGGCACCGTGCAGGATTTCTATGGTGTTCTAGTCGTCTCTTCGTGTGGATATAAAGCGGTAAGTCTCGTCTTTTCTCTAAGATGATTGCAATACTTGTACATTTGAGTTTGAGTATACATTGCCCGAGTTGCGTTTAGGAATGCTAATGAATGTTTTGCTTTTTTTTTTAGCAGTTGATTGCTTTAGCGCAACTTAATAGTGGTATTCTACTCTTATTATTTATTTATATTTATACACGACAATAAATGTTCAAATGACAAACCCATTTGAGGGTTATGCAAAGAAAGTCACCGAGTTCATAGAAAGAAGTCCGATTAGTGATGGGAAGTTCGGCACATTTCCACGAATCGGTTCTTTCGAACTCAAAACTGATTCAGTGATCCGTATCCTTGTTTCACTCCAAATGCTCGTACTGCCACCTCAATCGTCGGTTATCAGCATCGCGCATTAAGTGGGGGGAAAAACGATTCTTCGTTGAATAAGTCAGTCCGTGAGTTGTTGACTCCAGAACCTCTCGTACCTATTGTATTCGTGACAGTAACGTAGTTCATTCCGCCTGGGGAACCGGTTCCCAGCAAGGATCCGAATCAAAAGAACGATTTGTTCTCAAATCGGACATCGTACCTCAAGGAAGCCAATTCTTAATGTTACAATGTCATACTTGATTTAGTCCTTTTTTTGAATAATCAACGGTTCGATCAGATTTATATCTGTGGTGGATCATTCTGACTTAGTTCAACTATGCCATCGCCGGATATGTTGTTGCTAGTCTCCCATCAATACTAGTCTCCGTTATTAATCACCGAGTGAAGTCGGTGTATCCTTGCACGATACACGTTTTTAATGTGTTGTGTTATTTTAGTACCATACAATTCTATAAGAGTGGATCGAAAGAGAATTTGTTTGTCTTATTATTCGTCCCTGATGTAGACATGCTTGTGTTTTCTCCGGCAGATTGATTTTCATGGGCGTATGCCTTTAATTCAGTGAATGACTACAAGGGCAAGGATGAAAACATCCTCTTTTTGGTGTCATGTGCTTGAACAGCGGACTGTTCATTTTTCAGTCACACTCAAGAGATTTGAACTTCAAAAATAATTGCTGCATTGTCAGATTCGTCGTAATCCACAGCCGGTCGATAAAACCAGTAACTAAATAACAAATGTCACGCCCATAAGTGATACATGCATTTTTAAATGAAATAGACTGGCGTTATTATGTGTCTGTGCATGTTGTTTTGATATGTCATGACGGTATTCAGATGTGTTTACTTGTGTAGTGAGCGTGTGAACACACAGGCCCAGCCCTGCTGCTGCTGCAGGCGAGCGGCCGCCATGTTTATGAGTCCGTGAAGGAACCATCTAATATTCCTGATAATCTACATCTTTGTGTGTGTGTGCTGGATATCTATCTGCATACTATGGCACTGTTTTTGCCCACTGGATATTTAATAGGCTAAATGGGTTGTTGACATATAACAGGCAGGTCCATGAACATTTTTATTTTCAGATTTAAGATTTTGGGTTAAAATTTACATAAGGGAAAAGGAAAGTTTATGTCTTGGTTCTTTTTCGTCATTGGAATTATCATAAGCATTCCCACAGCCATGAAAAAACTCTAAAACATATTAGGATTTTTTTAAACGTTAATTCCATGTTTTACCCCTGACATATGAAATAATAATAATTATTTTTTAAATGGAACAGTTTCTTGAACCTTTTTGACATAGGCTAATACAAAAGAAAATCTAAAAAACAGTTTGCATATGTGTTCTGTTTTTTTATAACCTTTTTGGCTTTTGCGGCACATATATGATGAGAATATCGAGCTCACACTCAGAGGAGAAAAACAGCTCAATTTTATTTAGAGGTCCATACTGATAAAAAATATGCGATTTTGTGCAGAATGTGTTTGTTTATTTATTTATATGGCAAAAAAGTAAGATGAAATTCTGATAGCTTGTAATGTAAATCAGTCAAATTTTGAGTGAAAACAGTATAGCAGACTAGTACTACTTGCTTAAACTGCATAAAGGTATTCATCAGTCGTCACTCTATATCTCCCAAATATGTCTTAATAAGATAATATTTAAATGCTTAGATTTTTTATCAAAGAAAGCTCTGTGGTTTTAATTGTGTGGGGAAAAACATAATGCAATGCAATACAATCATGATTGCGAGATAATTTGCAAGTACAAATAAATGTTCAGTTCATTTTAAAATATTAATATAAAAGTTACACTTAAGTTTACTTTATAAAATATAAATCTCAAAAAGATGTGTACCACAGCCTAAATGTGGACATTTTTAGAATCATACCTAAAGGCCTTCTACTTGCTAAAAATATTTAGAGGCCTTAGAAATTCATGAATCAATAGAGTTATAGAGTTAAAGTCATTGACATTTATACTTTATACTGCTTATTGTGAGAATAAAAATAATCCCTAATGAATCTAATATCAAGTAAACAGAAGTTAATTTAAAAGTTATGGAAAATCATTAGTCAAAATCTGAACCATTTATCATCTTTTTCTTTTATGTTTGCTTTTGGCATCCAGCAATTTCAGAAAATCTTCTCAAATGCCTCATAACCTCTAATATCATCGTTGCATAAATTATGTTATGGTGCCTTCTGATCTATTTAGAAGTCTTGTTTACTCAATGCAATCTGATGAGATAATTCTGGAAAACGTCTGTGAAATGTGTTCTTGTACCTTTAGCCTAATATCTGTGGCACTGGAAAAAAACAACATAATTTTGTTTCTTTTTGTAGGAGAACATTTTGTGGGATTGAATCACACCAACTTCAACCATGTCTGGCTCAGTGAAAGTGGCTGTCAGAGTGCGACCCTTCAACTCAAGGGAGACCAACAAGGAATCAAAATGCATTATACAAATGCAAGGGAACTCCACCAGTAAGTATATACTTGTCTCTATGGCTCTCATACTTTGTTTGAATTGTTAGCTTGTCGTATTTGGTCACATGCCTCCAGACAAGGTGGCTCTAGTATATGCTTTTGGCTTTAGCCTGTGAGATGTTCAGAGTTAGATAGCGTTGTTGGAAATCTGAAACCTGAGTGACTGAAAAGGGAGAATAGAAGTGGAAATGATATTCTGTTTGATCTTGAAGGAAAGAAGAGCCTCTCTGTGTGAAATCCCCTTCCTTTGGAAAAATGAGAGGACTCAAAGAATTTCTGCCTGAGGGACTTTAGTGTGTTAAGGTCCTGAGTGTGAAGATACTGTGTGGCTTGAACCTGCAGCTCGGGGTCTCTTGTTCATCAGTTTTGCATTAGTTTAGTGTTAGAGGAAAAGAGAGCCAGTGAAAGGAAATGAGTTGATGTTATCGCCCGTGTTTCGGGTGTTATCGTTATTACATCCTAATGAAGAAGGACGCCTGACCACACATCAAGAATTCATGGACCCTTTGATATAAAAATGGTTTCAGTCAAATTTTTTAACTTAAGAGTTTTACATAGCCTTATGATAATACTTTTTGACTCATTTGTAGAAGATAAATGTAAAAAATTCCTTGTGTATTGTGAGTGTAACTCGGCATACTGTATTAGCTGTTTTTTGGACAACATATGGGTTGTTAACGTCCATTTGTGAGCAGTGAGTCATTGTGCTCACTGAGATGTGATTCATTGAGCTGTTTTGAACAAGGTAACATTGAACACAGAAATGGTGGTGTGCTAATTCTTAAGATGCATTAAGAAAGAAAATATGGACCTATGTAACCCAATGACAGCATGTCATTGATAAATTACCTAGCGAGGGTTTTTATATATTGGGAAAGATGTAGGCTAAATTGACACTTGTATTGTGGTTTTAACTATAGATGGATATCCATTCATGTTTTTCAATTCAATTCACTAGCTGTTGGTTCTGATTTCGATTTGATTTGATTATGATTCATTTGTCTATTTCAGTAATAATTAAGGTCAGTATAAATAATCCAGGTCTACACTTTGTTTATTCAAGTTTATATACACTTTATATTCATTCAAATGAACTGGTTCATAAGAGTCATTTGGTCGTTGAGGTGTAATAAACACTGGCTCTTGGGTTTTGTAGAATCAATTAAACTTGTTCAAAATAAGATTGAGATTAATTGGAAAATCAATATTTACCCAGCCATAGTTTTAACTTTATGAGGCTTCAAATCTCATGATTGAAGGAGGATGCATTTGACTCAGTTAAAAGGGTCATGACATGGATTTTTTAAATAATATTTTGATACGTTCCTTGAGGTTCACTTATGTTAATTAAGTTTTTTGCACAAAAAAACAAAGATATGTACGAAGAAAAATTATTACTCTATTGCAAGTGAGTGTTTTGAAAACATTATCCATGTAAAACTGTAATTTACAGAAGAAATTATTTAATTTTGGATGATACCGATAGATAGCGATACTTTTTTATATTTGAAAGCCGATAACCGACATATTGGCTGATAAATCTAAATCTAAATTTATATAATTTGAGTGCCTGATTACAAAAACAGAAGTCTCACCATTTAAAAGCCATTTTAATTAAACCATATTGTGGATGAAAATGGAAAATAAAAGTGCTAATTATTATTAATGATGCATCAATGTTTTTGAATATACTACATAAACAATATTACAACTTATATGCACAAAATGATGCAAATGCACAAGTGAACTTAAACTAAGTGATGTGCTAGTCAGAATATGTAACTCCTGTTGTGGATTTGCGCTGAAACACGGCAACTAAACCCAAAGAGTTCACAATGTTTTATTACAATAGTGTTCTCTTTATAATGTTATGTAGCCTATATGACAGACCCAATCATAGTGATTAATGTTGTGCATTGCTGTGTGAGCTGCGTGTGCTGAAGCTGAAGAGCTGAATAAACACTGGTAAACTGAAGACCTTTGCTAGAGGCTTATTTAACTCAACAAATTCACCATCGATATTGGCTTTAATTATTCAGCCAAATTTTTGTCATCCTGAATAGTTAGGCTGTGAGAGAGACGCTTTTGTCATATCAAACATTTTCTTCATTTACATATAATCATTATTGGCCTAAACCCCATGGTAAACAAAGGGGTCCATAGGAGGTACAAGGTCACCTGAGAGAAAGCCAGAGTTGCACAGGAAGTAGAGCTCAGAGACTGCAGTCACAATGCACTCTAGCACATATGCGCAGACTGCGTACTGAAACCGGAGTGTGAGGTTGGCATTCGACCCACCCCCTTCATTAGGACACTACTGCAGATGGTATGCTGGGAATGTTGTCTTATACAGTGCTGAGCCGTCAGGGTCAAGGATGCTCGTGGCAAATACACACAGCAAAAAGCAGAACGACCTTAATGTTTGGTCTCTAGTGATTCGTTTGCGCTGAGATGTGGTAACCATGGTGATGTCCACTGCTTAGATTGCATCTTTAAGACGAATGTTTGTCTGGACCGTTTGTTTAACTTGTACTATGGTGTGTTCCTATGGAGATGCTCTCTCCATTCAGATTGAAGCAGATATAAAGTAAATCTGAAAGAGTTATACATATGGTCAAAGACAAGGGGGTATATATATATATATATATATATATATATATATATATATATATATATATATATATATATATATATATATATATATATATATATATATATATATATATATATATATATATATATATATATATATATATATATATATATATATATATATATATATATATATATATATATATATATATATATATATATTCTCTAACCCTTTAACCCTATTTTGCTTCTCTGTTTGCAATCAGTTTATGCCACTTGACTCCGGGAAAGTTTTCAATCCAGTAAGCGAATTCATTCATAAAAAGGGGGCGAATAATTGATTAAAAATGTTAATCTATTGACAGCCCTATATTCCCTTTTACTTTGACCATATTTACTTTCTTAATACACATCCTGGACTTTTTGCAATTAAACAATTATTCTTCTTATCACTGTATCTGCTGTAAAATGTCTGTTTCTAGAGGAATATGTGGGCTTTTGCTTGAGTGAAGTATAAATATCGTCTTTGGAAGTTTGAATGTTGCTATTCATGCGTGTTTTTGTGTGTGTGTTGTATCTGAAAGAAGAGATATTAAGCATTGGGTTGTATGGAGATTAAACCTGTAAAACCTTTTTCTCTCTCACATCTCTCTTGAGAGATATTGGCCTCTTGCACTAAATGTATTGTTATTGTGACCTTTTCCTTTATGAAGGGAAAACTCTTGAGGGAATGAAAACTCATCTCTCTTTTCATCTTCAGCAGTGGAGTCGTGAACAAATAATATCATTGTTCACAAAAATCTCGGGAACAAGATTGAGTGGGGAGGATTTAAAGGGATAGTTCACCCAAAAATGTAAATTGTCATCCTTTACTCACTCTCAAGTTGTTCCAAACCTGTATGAGTTGAATGTTCGTAACCGGACAGTTGACAGTAACCATTGACTTCCATAGGTTTTTTTTTCCTACTATGGAAGTCAAAGGCTACCGTTAAGTGTTTCCAAGCGTTACCAACATTATCAGGTTACCAACATTCTGTGAAATATCTTTAATTGTTTTTTATTTTATTTAAAAATATATCCTTTTTTTCTACTGAGGAACATAAATTATATTTTGGTGTTTTTTTGTTCATACAATGGAAGTCAGTGGGCTCCAATGTTGTTTGGTTACCAATAGGGATGAGCATTTTTGTCAATTTTTCATTTCGAGTATTGATCGGTATCAAAAATGAGTGAGTGAGTGAGTGGGGGGGGGGGGGTAATCATGGCGATAATGAAAATACTTGAATTAAAACACTGTTATGAAAATTAATTTTGACAAATAAAAATAAATATGACATGAAATGTCTATCAAAAAATGAAAATATGACTAGAACAATAACACATCACTGTTTTCACATCACTAAACACCAGTAAACTGAAGCCCATTCTATATGACGCATATGAGATTAATCCGATATCGTAGATAGATGCATAACATAAACGTAACATTACAGCTCATATCTGCAAGTTGTGAAAACCGGATTCTATAACCAAACTCACATTTTCAGGGCTCACAAGTGCTTTCTCAGAAAACCCATGCTGTGTGAACGGAACCGGAATGGACAACTAGTCTGTCACGTAATGCAGTCTGAGAGAGATGCTCTGCACTACAGAAACTCGTTTCAACACCGTGTGTTGCAGGTTTTCGTGTGTGGTTTCGGTAACTTACAGTCACTGTTCTCCACCGGAGCTGCTCCCGTCAGTCTTGTGTTCTATGTGCGACTCAAATGCTTCACTCTCCCCAGTGTTACATACTGGCTCTCAGACAGTAACAAAGAAAGGCAGGAGAAAGTTCGGCAAACAAATGTCTAAGGATTTATTTGTTAACTCCATAAGTTTACATTTGCATACAAACTACAATTCAAACACCGAACAAAGCCGGTCTCTCCCGCGTCCTCTCGCCACACCCAAGCCCTCTTTATGCCATCAGCTGGGACACGCCTCGCGCGCCGGCATCCCCATCAATTAAGCACAGGAAGTAACCTAGGATAACAACAAGACACGAAACAGAAGAGATACAGAAACACAGACAACACAGGATGTAACACTGTGCCTTATCTGTGCCTTTAATGTGACGAATATCCAAATGGTATGGTTGCAGAAAAAGAGCCCATCTCATTAGGCACTGATTTGGATTCTGAAGTGAGTGCAAGAACGTTAACGGACTATGGTCACAGAAGACCACCAAAGAAAAAGCACCAGCTACATATACATCAAAATGTTGAAGCGCCCAGATTAACGCCAAAGCCTCTTTTTCAATGACAGCATAATGTGCCTGATAAGAAAGAAACTTTCTAGGAAAAAAAAGAAACCGGACGATCAACACCGTGTTCATCTTCCTGGAGCAAAACAGCTCCAACTCCTAC